CTGGTTAATGGGGCGCACCTGCTCTGCAGGTCCGGAATCTGAGGCGCGGGGATTGTGTAACTTGCCCAAAACCAACACGGAGTTGCTGATGTGAGGAAAGCGTATTCTAACCCGCAGGCTGCCCCTAGAACCCGAGGTCACAGGCACCATGCTAGCGGGAGACAGCCCCCAACGTCCCCTCCTCTCGCCTCAGGCCTCCGTAGGACAGGCCGCCGCTTCAGTCTCACGCGGTGGCGTGTGAAGCAAAGCAAAACAAACAAAATTCTGCAGTTCGGTGGACTGTTAAATGATGTTCCACTCAGGGTAATGGCTGGTCTTCGGTTGGCCGCTGGCCACGTGCAGCTCCACCGTGGGACGTCCGTGCCCGTGCCTCGCCGGGCCTGGGGATGAGATCCCCGCGGTGCGCCGCCGGCGCCAGGCCGCGCCGGCCATGTGCATCCTCCAACAGCCGGTCTGCGGTCGCTCCCCAGGCACCAACCAGAACCGCCCGATGCGTCACAGGCAAGTGGCATCTGTGGCACTTGATCCCCAGGGGGTTCTAATAAGGTATGTTAGCCATGGTAATAATACCTCTCGGAAACCCCGGGAGGAATCAGGAAATAGGATATGTCTCATCAGCCCTGGCATGTCAACATCGTGTCCAAAATCAAGCCTATGGCGCCGCAAGCCTGCGTCCGCTTGGTGACTGGTATTGACAGCCGCCCAGGCACCAGGACCTGGAAGGTCAGAGCCACCTTCAGCCCTTCCTTCTTCCTCTCGTGAACCGTGGCCTGTTCTTTCACCAAAACCTCTCTAATCCCCCCAAATAAGCTCTCATCCCAGTGCCCGGGCTGTGACAGCATTTGCAGACCCTGGAATGAATGCACTCTTGCCCTGGCTGTCCCTTCCTTACGCTTCGGCCAGTCACACTAAAAAATGTTCAGTGGTATCCCATTACGTGCTCAATAGAGCCAAAGCTCTTCAACTCCAGACCCAATCTGCTTTTCCTTCCTTCTATTTCTATAGCCTGCCTCTCCCCAAATTCTTATTTTGTGCCCTAACTATACCATCTGCGCTGTATTCCCAGATGTTGCCCGTCTCTCACCCTGGCACCTTCTGATCCCTTTGTTCCCTGCTCCTGGAGCACCGTTCCTGCCCATCACTGTAGGGCTCATGTTGGCCAGGATGCCACCCCCCCGATGGCAGTTGAAGATACTTCTACAGGACTTAGTTATTTCATTTTGCAGTTTCATAATACTTTGTTTCACTTGGTTCTAATATTTGCTTTGTTTTATAGTTAAAGAGTACCTAGATTTTCTTCAGGCTTTTATTCCCATTAGGATTAAAAACAAAAAATTTACTGAGGTTTAGAGAGCGGAAGTGTTGTTTAGAAAGTTTGAGTTTGCCACAATATTTAAAAAACTCAATAAGCACTATTGTGTAGCCCATCTCAAACTTTAATATGTTGACTTTAAGCGCCATTCAAAGCCTAGTTATTAAAGTGTTAGTGTTCTCAAAGACTTCTAGATACCACAGCGGCCAAAATATGACTTAAATATAATAATTTAATATTGTAAAGTAGTTCTTTGGCCCTAAAAGAACGAAAGGCAGTGTGCATGCATTTGCCCAAGGAAGGACCTGAAATTAGTGATGACCAGCAGAAAGAGTGTTATTGATTCCCTGATTACCAGTAACATAACTGGGCCCAGGACCAGGAGGAAGCCCACGGCTGACCCCATCCTGAAGGCACTGCATTGCTTGGGAAACCAAAGAGAAGTCGGTGAGCACTTGCTCTAGCGTCCAAGACCACATCCTTCAAGCTTGTTTGCCTTCCAAATCTATTAAAGAAGCGCGTGTTGGGGGGAGGGGGCGGTAAGAGGGGAAGCCTGGGAGAAAAACCGAGAAGCCGAGACCCCAAAAAGGCGGAGAGAGATGGGCGGGGATCCGCCCGAGAAAGAGCTGCCGCCAAGCCACGCCCCCGTTTCCTAGGTAACGGGGTAAACAGCCCTGCGGCTCCTGCTCCTCGGGGACCTGGGCCAGGTGTTAAGTGGCAGGCGGGAAGCAGTGGGGAGGGGAGATGTGTGCTTTCGTGAGAGTGGGGTCCCCCAAAGGGCTAGAGCCCCCAAAGGAATTGGGAACTTCCCTCGAGGCAGGTACAGGTTCCCCCTTAGAGATGAGTACCATTGGAGGAATGAGGGTGTCTGAGAGGAGATATCCCCTGAGCATGGGGGTCGGATTAAGCCAGGAAGGAAAGGATGATTTAGGAGAGAGGAGGGTCTTGACGGGAACAAAGTCTCCCACGGAGTTGGGGCTCAGAGTGGGATTACGAAAAGAAGATTCCCCGTGGAGAGACAGCCCCTTGGTTAGTAATAAATATGAAGAGAGAATGGCATCATCAGAAACAAGATCTCCATTTAACAAGGAGCTTGAATTGAGGTTAAAAAGACAGGATATTTCTAGGACCCTCACGGAGAGGAGTAATTTAGGAATCAACAGGGTCTCAGCCCCACCTTCTCTGGGTGTGTTGCCAGAAAGAGCAGGTTTAGAGAATGAGTGTCTTCTGGCAGGCTGTTCTGGACGGACAATGAGGACTCCCCTGGGCATGGTGTGTGAAAGCCCACAGGCTCTAGGGAGCAGGAGAGGTCCTGCGGCTAGTGCCCTCGAGGGGTTAGGGCCATCAGTGGAGAAGCAGCTGACTTTGGGTGTGGAACCCAGCCAGGAACTGGAAAAAGAGTCGACTTGTATGGTGGTGAAGCCCTGGGCAGAGATGAAGCCTCCTGTGGAGGTAGATATTGGGCTGCCCCAACCAGAGGAGCCGGATGAAATGAGGAACACAGAGCCCCAAACGGGCTTGGTGATAGAACCTCCTGAGTGCCAGTTCATACAACAACCTGGAGGAAAAAAGGCTGAAAACATTGAGCCAGGAGTCGAACCACCAGATCGCATCAGACCCATCTACTCTGGGCAATTTTTTGATCGAATGCCTTGCTATCCAAGTGTAAGTTTTCCCCCTGGGAACTATGTATAGCCATATCTTTATACTTGTTTGGGTTTGTGGGGTCAAACTGCCAAGATTTCATTGGGATTCTGATATTCCTTGTCCTACTGGACTCTTTCCAGCTGTTACTTTGTCCGATCTCTGATTCTCTGCCTTCCCTTCTAGATGTCAGCTTTGTTTTCTGTGCACACCAGTGGCTCCTCTTGATTTCTGTTTTCTCCTTTGACCTTTATTTCATTCCTCAGTCTGCATTTCTCAATCCTCTCACTGAGATACATGTTGTATCCTAATATTCATGTTTCTTTTTCCATAGAAGCCCCCTTTTTTGGTCAATAGTCTTAATTGCTGTTCATAATTTCTTTTAGATTTTTCCTTTTTTTTTTAATGGATGAGAGAGAGAGGAAGGGAGGGAAACATCGATTTGCTTTTCCACTTATTTATACATTCATTGGTTGATTCTTTTATGTGCCCTGACCAGGGATCAAACCTGCAACCTATATCTGGATGACGCTCTAACCAACTGAACTACCCAGCCAGGGCCTTCTTTAGGATTTTCTAGGTAGACAATCATATTGACGCTTTTATCTTTCCCTCTTTACTATATATACCTCTCATTTCTATTTTCTATATCATTGCATTGCCTATGATCAATAATATGATGTTGAAAGTAAGGTTTCTTTCCTGACTTTAATGGGAATGATTGTAATGCTTCACTATTGAGTATTATTTTTGCTGAGGATTTCTGATCAAGTTAAGGACACCTATATCCACTGTCAGTTTGCTAAGAATGTTTAAAAATCAGAAATAGACCTTGAGCTGTGGAAAATTTTCCCATTTGTTGAAATACATCTTTTCCAGATCAAAATGGTTAATTTTCTAATTGCAAACAATCTTCATATTTCTGGGCTAAGCCCTACCTGGTGGTGATGTAGGAAGAAGGAAGGAAAGGTTCGAAGAAAGTTTAACAAATTATAGTGTCTACAATGACTAGACAGTATGTTAGGCACTTTGGCTACAAAAATGAAAAAATGATGTCTGCTTCCAAGGAACTCAGGAGAGCCTAGAGACTTGAGACCAATAGAGAAATGATTTTGTAATATGGCAAAAGTCATGTAAAGGGATATCTTATTTTCCCCCCTTGTTTTATACTAGGGGAACCTGATAGCTATTTGGGGAATGGATAGAAACAAAGGAGTCACCCATTTGTGAATCTTGTGAGAACTTGCTAGTTATGCAAGCCCTGGTACTGAGAAAAGGAGAAAAATTTTATTTTGTCTGAATTTGTAAAGAGCCAATCTCTGCAGAATTCTGAGAAGCGGGTGGTTGCATAATGGATTCAGGGCCTTCTGGGCAGAAAGAAATTGATGCTATCACACCTAACTTTTTATCTGAGGTACTCAGAATTAAGGATGTCTATGGGTAGAACACAGTGATCTTGGCCAAGGCCCAGTGGGAAGATGGGACCATAGTGTTAGCCCACACTGAGTTGAGAGAGGAGAAGGCGACATGATTGTGGGTTGGGAGGTCTTCAGTAGCTAAGACTGGTGTTGTATCAACCTTCCTAAATTGACTTGAATCTTGGAAACCAATTGTGTAAGAAGTAAAATAGGTCACTGAAAGCTGTAATATTGGGGGCTGATGAGGAGGTAGCCATGTGAGGTGCCACTGGTGTGGTTAGGAACTGAGCAAGGAGGTGGTTGGTGAAGTGGGAATTTGGTTACATACAGAGGCCTGAACAGATAAGTAAATATATTGAGAACAACAGGAACCAGGTTTCTCACTGACAGAGAAAGAAACCTACAAATATGAGAAGGATGGAAGTAATTCTTCTGTGTTGGATAGTAATTGGAGGTAGTGGTGGAAACTCATGCTGTATCTATGTCTCTGTCTCTGTCTCTGTCTGCGTCCATGTCAAAATCCATGTTTATGTATCTACACACTTAACTAAACATAATATAGAACTGATATAGAAGCTAGTGTGTGTGTGTGTGGGGGGGGGGCGGCTGTATACATATATACATTTCCTAACTCTATTTTCTAAGAGGACCTAGAAACAATGTTTATCTAGTAATAACGAGCACACCAAAGCACAGATCTTGATTTTTAAATATCATTCCCTATTAAAAGGAATCAGGACTCTTTGGGGCAGTGGCTAACTCTGGGGCCCGTGCAGTGCAATATGACCTTGGAACACCTTTGAGAGCCAAAAAGAAAATTTTCAAAGAATAATACGGACATGTCAAAAAGGCACAGAAACAGGCTTGAAGAGGTGCCAAATTGCCCAAACTGTTATACTTTGAGCACTGAGTAAAATTACTGTTTAATGAAATAGAAATCCAGGAGCCCATACTGATATAAATACAGGAATGATTGGATAAATAGCAAGGAAAGAAAGCTCCCCTGCAGTATAATGCCAAGTAATAATGTAGACAGGACAATAGAATTAGAAAGTCACCACTTGGCAACTCTGAGAGTAATAATGGTTTAGATAAGAGTTATCAACGGATGCCAAAACAGTAGGTAAATCTTAGTGAGAAACTGGATATTTACAGAGAATAATTATTAATTACAAAGACAAAATAACTTCTCAGTGGAGAAAGCTAGTTGTCAGGCATTACCTTCCTTTAGTGACCAAAGTTAACACCACAAGTAATAGGACAAATTGACAGAGTGTGCTCCCTGATAGAAGAACACAGCACTATTTTTGTGATATCCCTGACAAAAATGTGTAACTTTAATAAGAAAACTCTGGTCAAACTGAGGGACATTTTACAAAATAACTAGCCTGTATTCAAAAAATGTCAAGGTCGTGAAAGACAAAGAAGTATTAGGAACTGTTCCTGACTGAAAGAGACCAAAGGGACAGGACAGCTAAACGCTGTGTGGTGGCTATGGAGGTATCTGGCTCCTCTATCTTCAAGAAGACAAGCTGTGGGGAGTATACCTGATTGAGCATCCACCTGCTGCCCCCTGGACCTACCCCAGTATTCCCAGTGACTGAGCATGGCAGGGATACTAAAATTTTACCCAATGTAGAATTCTTTGAATGGGAAATTCAGGCTCAGGGATCACTCTTTGGCCTGGCCAACATTTTCTGAGAATTGTGCTATAGTCTGAAGGTCTTTCTTCTTGATACTTCCTTCCCTCTCCCCTTTCATAGGTGTCATGGTCTGAAAGCTCTCCCTGCCTTCTCCTCCCTCCTTATCTTTCACAGGTCTTTCCCCTAATAAATATCTTACATGTCTAATCTTGTGTCTGCTTCTTAGAGGAACCAAGCGATCACACTGTGATCTTGGATTTGCTCCTTTTGCTCTAAAGGACAGTATTGGGGCAACTGGTGATATTTGAATGGGGCCATTACACTTGCTAGTAGTACTATATCAGTGTGAATTTCCTGATTTCTGAGGCCTTTATTAGTTTTTTGTTGTTTTTTTAAAAAAATAATAAACCACAAAGGAAAAGAAAATAGAAGAGGAGACAACAGTTAAGAAATTTCAATAAATGTTAGAAAACAGGAAGATGGGGGAGATATGGCAACTGATTTTGCAGAGCAGGAAAAAAATGAAGTTTGAGGGGAATCAGGTGATAATTTCTACCGGAAATGATCCAGTTTGCCTGGAACAATCCCTGGGAAACTCAGCCTTTGGAAGAAGGTATAGTAAAGCTTGGATCTGAAAATGAAAGAATTGAAAGTCCCTGTTCAGTGCAGTTGGGTTTCCAGTTCCCCTTTCCATCCTATGTTACCTTGACTCCCTACCTCTGTGCGTCAGCTTCCACTTCCTTCCACCAAAACTGTGGATTTATTTTCCCCAAAGTGATTTTTGGGAAAGACCAAGCCCAAGATAATATGGGGGGGGGGGGCAGCTCCAGGCTGAAAATGGGGCATTAAAAATGAAAGTATACTTTCTGTATTGCAGTTTCCCTAACTTCCTCTCTCAAAGGCCCCTGGAGGGCCAGCAGCCAGGAGTAAAGCCAGCCCTCTCACCAGTAGACAGTGCATAGAGAGGCAGTAGAGCATCCTGCTTAGGAGCCAGCCTGCTTCTGTTCAGGTATCTGCCAATATATGAGCAGTGTAACCCTGTTATTAGAACTCTCTGTGCCTCAATTTGATGGTGATGATAATAGTACCTGCCTCATTGAAATCAATGCTTAGAACAGTGTCCAGCACATGCTATGTGCTTTATAATTGTCAATTATTATTACTATTGTTACTATTCTCAGGAAATTCTGAATAGTCTAGAGGGAAAAAATGGTATTAGGGGTTCTACCAAAATAAAGGCTGCTTCATCATCTTAACACCTTATAGGAAAACTTAAGAGTCAACAAGCCCTACAACAGACTCAGAGCTACTAATCATCTTTGAAGTGGCTAACTTTTTAATTTGAAGCTCAGACTCCAGCTTGAAATGGAGGGTCTAAACAAGCTAACAGAAAATATATGCACAAACACAGAACAGAGGAAAATGTAAACACACATAAGATTACCTGAGAGATAAACAATGTTGCATCCATAAAACTTTGGAACTTTTTAAAGAATAACCAGAGCCCTAGCCGGTTTGGCTCAGTGGTTAGAGCATCGCCCTATGGACTGAAGGGCCCCGGGTTTGATTCCTGCCAAGGGCACGTACACGTACCTGGGTTGCAGGCTCAAACCCTGGACCCGGTCGGGGCTCATGCGGGAGGCAACCAATCTATAGGCCTCTTTCACATCGATGTTTCTCTCTCTCCCTTCCACTCTCTCTGAAAAAGCAATGGAAAAAGTATCCTCAGGTGAGGATTAAAAAATAAAATACCAACCAGAGAAGAAAGAATTACTTAGAATTTAAACATGCTAATTTAAATAAAAATTCAAAAGGGCATTGGAAGATGAAATCAAAGATATTTCCCAGATATTAAAACAAAAAGGAAAAGATTAGAAATATTAGGAAATGGGCATGCCCTGTGCCATTCTGTTGGGCACGTACATTTGGCCGCCTTTTCTCCCAGACTCTAAGAGTCCCCTCGAGACTTGCAACCAGGGGAGCAGCGAGCGGCAGAAGAGGTCTCCTTTTTGACTCTGCAACTTCTTTTTCTGAGTCCATGCAGCTGCTACTATAGCCTGCCTGCTTTCTGCCTCTCCAAGGGCATATTATCTCTTTTCACTCTAATAAATCTTGCCACTGTTGCTTAAAATACTAAAAAAAAATTAAAAAAAATAAAAAAGGAAAAGAAAAAAAAAATTAAGAAACATTTTATTAATAGTAGTTCCAGAAAGAAAGATAAAGTGGAGAAAATTATCAAAGAAATGCAGCAAAATTGTAAGGAGTTCATTGAAGATCAAACCAAATGAAGGAGAAAGAAGATCTATACCAAAAAGCATTACTGTGAAATTTCTGAAAATTAGGGATACAGAAATGACTCTAAATACTCTTTTCCTATGGAGGAAAAGAGGCCACATACAATGGAACAAAATTCAGAACTGCACTTCTCAAACAACAAGACCATGTTTTAAAGGACATTGGCATAATGCCTTCAAAATTCAGAAAGAAAATGATTTGTTACCTTGTATTCTATACCTAGCCAAACTATTAACCAGTGTAAGAGTAGAACACAGACATTTCCAAGGGTGTAAGGACTCAAAAATTGGCTTTTTATGCATTCTTTCTCATGAAATTAATAAAGAATTTTCTTCAGTGAAATGGGGGAGTAAACCCAAAAGGAAGAATAGATGGGAGGAATGGGCAATCTAGCTCTGAAGAAAGGCAAATGAAAAATTCCCAGAACAAGACCTCTGCACCAGACCTAAAGAGCAACCAGCAAAGATTGAAGACATAACTGTCAGCTGCCTTGAAATGATAAAGAGAAAGTAGATTAAGAGGTGCATTACTGGGAATGAACAGTTATTATCTTTGCCTTGGGCAAAGAAGGACAGATAAGATCCAAATTAGAATAAAGTGAACAAAGGACATTTACCGAAGGAGCAAAGTTAGGGTGTTGGTGGAAACACCCCCACACAACACCCCCCTCCCCCCCCCACACACTC